CTCCACCAGAATACGGCCAATCACTCCGCCCTGTCCCTTTTCCAATTACCCCCTTTCACCCTTCACTTCCCCGCTCATCTACACCAAACACCACAACCAATTTTCCCTTTTCCCACATCTACTCTTTTTCCAACTACCATCCGTCACCGTCCTCTCTACACATCCTTCATACCGGCAAAACTCTTTTCTCCTTTCGTCTTAAAGTAATGTTCCTAATAAACGGCAAGATACAACTCCATTTCGAGGATCAAAAGGAATTTCGACTCTAAAAGGAGAATAACTTCTGAAAATAATCAAAGCAATATAATACAATACAACAATGTCAAATATGTTAAATAAAATATTCGCGATGAAATCCATGATGATTGAACATTCAATAAATAATATTACTAATAATATTTATCTTAGGATAGATAAATAACATTTTATTGTGAGCATCATTTTTAACAAACATTATTCGGAGATCGTGAGATGCAGTCTGGTGTGACGTAAGCTTTAGAAAAATATTTTCTTTATCGTGCCACCGTTTCGATCATTATTGAGATCTTCTTCAAGGCCTGGGATTTATAAACATAGCTTAAATTTTACAAATACATGTAGGGTGTGAAAAAAAGCCCTGAAGATGATCTCAATAAAGATCGAAACGTTGGCACGATAAAGAAAATGTTTTTCTATACCTACGTCACACCAGATCGCATCTCACGATCTCCAAATAATCATTAATCAACGGTCACTAAACAGCACACATTTTCAACACACAATTTTTTTCAACAAAATTACATTTATGTGCAAAGATAAATTTAAAATAGAGTAAAAGTTATCAAAGTTTAACAATAATCAAAAAATTTCTAAAGACCTAATATTTTTCAAGTAATCTAGATCATAATTTTTTCATGAAACTAATAATGAAATGTCGTTTTAAAACTCTATTCCCGCCTAAATATAAATTTTTGTTTGAATTTAAATGTAGCATTTTTTTTTCTACGAGGGTTCGCAACAGCAGAGGTTATATAAACCCTCGGGGTGCCGGCGTTTTTGAAAAAATAAAAAAAAACATTTGTAAGTATGTCGGGTTCGAATGCAGGGCCGCTGGATTCGAACCCATGCCTTACAGTGATGAGCGGCCACCGACGCCCACCTCACTGTCAGATTCGTTATTCTAGCATTACAGAACCCTTAGATAACGGCTTTCGCGGAAATCGGTGTAAATTAATTTTTTGACCTGATAATTAATTTCTACGACCTTCTGCGTGACTGACATTCCTAGCGTAATGCGCTAACATAATTTTTCTCAAAAGCTAGTGAACCAATTTTTATGGTTTGTTTGTAATTCTTTTTAAAGAAATTGTCAAGTGCATTTTATAACTGTATCAAATATTAAAATCGGACTATTATTTAAAAAAAAAACAAGGTAAATTTCTGACAAATAATTTTGCTCTTTTGTGTATTTTCTTATAGAAATATTTTATATATTTTAATGGTATATACTTCGTTAACAAGGTACGTTTCTCTTCTTTCAAATGGTCTCTTTTATGTTAAAATCCTTTTAGCCTTTTTTGATTTCCAGCCGTTACAATTCAACTTGAAAAGAATTTGGTTTTTAGAATTTTTCTGCTTATTGACAAACTCTAATAGCTTTTACTATATTTTTATTGCAATTTTGTTATTTTTATTCTTGTTAAATGATACATTAACATAGTTCATTTGAGCAAGTAGAAAGGCGAAATAAAAATATTAAAAAACGGAAAATTTTAACTTAAAAAAATGTTGGTGAAATCAAAACTTATTCACAAGAAGTGGCGTATAAGTGTTCGATATTTTGGAGTGTAAAATCATCAAAACAAGTTTGGCTCAAATTTGTGATTCACCAACCTGGTTGTCCCTTTGTCAGACTTAAGTATTTATAAGTCAGTTCATAGAACAATAGCACAAGATCTCACGGCTTATTATTATTATGTTCTTTTTTCTTAGCTACCGGCTAGGCGAAAATAAGGAATTTTTTACAAACTTTGTGGAATAACTTTGTTATTTAGTAACACTTTCAATCGTGGCATTGATTTCAGCAAAAATCTTTTAAAATGATGTGTTGGAAGGTAAGCGGCCCAAATTTGAAATTTTTATGTTGTACCGATCCTGAGGTTCTCTTTTAATTTTTCAAACAGTTAACAATTTTCAACTAAACTGAAAATATTATAAATACGTGTTTTTAATTTTTTTTATAACATTTTCTGTACAAGAGAAATTCAGCAGCAATTTCAGCATATATAGCCTATGTGAATTGCTTTTCACCATCAACAACCTACCCATTTCCAACTGCTCCACCGTAAAAAACTTCGGTGTTACCTTCACACATTTCCTAAATTTCCCCAATACAAAAGTATTGTATCCCTCATTCAATTCAGCCTGTCCTCCTCTACCTTTCGCCACTCTTCAACTCCTTGTCTCTTCCCGAATTTTGACCCTCTACGACTACAACTGCGTCGTTTATGGTGGACTATCGGAGGAACAAAAGAAGCGTCCGAAAAGATTGATGAATTGTTGTGTCAGATTTATTTCCGTCCGGAGTCTCAAAACTGTATTCAGACCTATCCTGGATCTATCCCTCCTACAGTAGGAAGTATTTCCTAAGCTCCTTCCTTTACCAGTTCATGTACTCATCGACCTTACTATTTTCAAGCTACCTCAATTCAAATCTTTCATCCACTTTCTTAACACCCGCTCATTTCCCAATGACCTATATCTTCCTCTTCATAAAACCTTCACATTTGAGAGGACCTTCCTAGCTCGTGCCACAAATCTCAGGGATTTTCTTCCTTTGCTAATCCGCAAAACCCTTACCTCTTTTAAAATCCCTCAAATCAGGGACAACAAAGCCCCACAATGTTAATTGGTTTTATACCCTCAAAATTCTTCGGTAAGATAAGATCTTTTTCTTTTGGTTTTATAATTGCTTGTGAAATATAAATATACTGATCTAGTGAACAATAAACAACAATCACGGTTAGGTTAGTCAGTATTCTTCAGAAAGTTTTTCTCTCATAATTGTACCTAGTCCAATTTAACAAGTAAATAATCCGTCCAATATTACAATTTAGTTAAATGAATGTTGAACTAATAGAGAAAACGATATCAATTAAAAGTAACTCATTTTTTTATTTTTTAACGACTTAATATAACAGCTCAAAGGTCTGCAAGCGACGCGTGCCATGATAATGATAATATCGATTTAAAATAATTGTTCACGCAAACGGATTAAAACTTCACGGACTTTCATATCCAATGTGTCATTTAAAATTAACAAAATTGTACGTAACTTAACCGAAATTAAGTTTATAATATTGAAAAGGTAGGATATGAACATGTAGATTGATTCGTCTTCGAAGTAAGTCGCAGGTGGCCACAACAGCGTTTTCTTTTCTGCCGGTTTGTATTGCATTCTCGTTGCAGCGTGAAGTTTTTCTCAATTTAGTTTATTTTTAGCTTTAGTTTTAGCCCAGTTAACCCCCCCCCCAAAAAAAAAAATGGTAAAAAGAACGATAAAGCTTTACTTTTTCCTGAGATCTCCCTTCACTGTTAATTATTACTCTACGTGTAGACTTATTTGTTCGTTTAAACTTGCTCGCTTCGGACATTTTTCTATTTTATTTTAACCATTATATTTAGTGGTTTATTGACCAATTTACTTCTATCCATTAATTAATCTTTTTATGGAAGATTTTGGTTGGAATGAAAAAGTTTGTGTCACGAGCGAGATTCGAACCCACGCCTTCGGCTAAATACGCCGCTGCTCTAACCACTTGAGCTATCGTGACTTCGATCCACTGGGACACCGACTCCCCATCTCAACCTACAAACCTTTCGAATTTTCCCTCCTTTTTGCCATTTTTCGAAAATTCGAAAGGTTGTAGGTTGAGATGGGGAGTGGCGTCAGAGTGGATCGAAGTCACGATAGCTCAAGTGGTTAGAGCAGCGGCGCATTTAGCCGAAGATCGTGGGCTCGAATCCCGCTCGTGACACTGACTTTTTCATTTCCACCAAATCTTACATAACAAAATTAAAAATTAAGTAATTAAACTTATCCCGCCTAGTATGGCAGCGACGCTCTCTAAAAGAGATTTGCGATATAACTGAAAGATTAATAAAGGTAAAAGCAATTAATGCACCAAAATTAATCAATGCTGTGGCAATTTCCATATCAAACCAAATTGTCGTTAACGCTAATATGCCAACCAAAATGACATTAAAAGCAGGGGTTCGCCATATCGGACGAACATAACCAAAAAAACGCTCAGGAAAACACCACCCATAACATACATGAAACGAGAAACTCCAGTATGAGCTTTATTTTAGTTTAAATTTCAATTCCGGCTGACGCGGAAATAGCCGAGTGTGAAGACAGCCCATGGATTTACTCTTCTCCAGAGTGAAGTGTAAAAGGGAGGACAAAAATGGGACGAGAGGCTAATCCGTTCGTGAAGTTCTTAACAAAAATAGATATTTAATACAAAAAATTAATTGCAAAGCAATCGTAACATTGCATTTATCAAGATGAGAGTTAGAGAATTTCACGGAAAGGAAATTAGGAATATAAATGGTTCGCATATTTGAAATAGTCTGATCGAGCCGGGAGGGTGAGAAACTCACGCTTCCTTACATTCCGAATGTCGTACCAGTTATCTTATGGACGTTTATACAAAGAGACCTTGTTCGATACTGTGGAAACCGCTATTGTCTGCGCCTCTTTATAACTGGTGCCAAAACGGATGAAAGGAACACCGTTGGTACTCAAAGTGTAACGGTGACCCAGCAACGATAAACGGCGTCGTAGTTATAATATAAAAACGACTAGATTCAAAAATATTATGTAATATAAATTCAACATTAGGATAAATTATATTATATTCTAAGTTAAAAGATGTATAAATTGTTTTTACAAAAGATGTAAAAATTAATCTGTGAACTTTTATACTTGAAATAAAATGATATTTCTATGTTTGCAGGTTTCGAAAAATGGCAATACTGTGACAAAAAAATGGCATCATCACTTAATCTACACTTAGATGAAGCTCATCTTAAAGGCAATCCTGTGAGTACATTTTCACTAGCAGTAAGAAGCGTGTAATTATGGAAATTTAATTGTTATTGAATTACTTTAAAAAATAATGTGTGGTGTTTGGTGTCTATTAGTTAATAATTATTTGGAGATTGTGAGATGCGATCTGGTGTGAGGTAGATTTTAGAAAAACATTTTCTTTATCGTGCCAACGTTTCGATCTTCAGGGCTCAGAGTGTTTGTTTTCTGTGTAGATGTGTCATTACTGTGTGTCGTGTTGAGAGTGCCGAAACATTTTGAGTTCTGAAGATGATGTCAATAAAGATCGAAACGTTGGCACGATAAAGAAAATGTTTTTTTAAAACCTACGTCACACCAGGCCGTATCTCACGATCTCCAAATAATAATTCAAATGATGAAAGATATCTTCTTTAATGAAATATTATGGTAAGTTGTCCTCTTACCATAGGCGGTTTCTCTGTCACTACGAGGAACGATATGTTTCTGAAGTTGAATAACAAGCAGATTTGCGAAGGATGAATTACGGTAATACCTGCACTTATTGATGGTATATTTAACAAGGGCACTTGGTTATCGCTATCACTAGAAATCACACGGTTGGAATGTCTTGGACGAACGCGGAATGACGTCTAAAACAAAGTAAATATGGAGCTCAGCTAAAAATGACGATATTTTAAAGTTGAACAGACTTGGAACTCTATGCATGACACTGGACCTCAGAAGGTCTGGCTTTGTGTTCTCTTCGGTTGTTTGAAAAGAGCAGTGATCCGCTTTCAAAACAGCATCCGCCAAAATTAGGAATCTCCAACGCTGCGAAACTAACAGTGCGCAGAGTAGCGAACGATCATCCAAATATAAGCAACATAGAAAAAGAAAATATACTAGTAGGTATATACATAAATATCAAAAAAGGGAGAATAAGGTAACAGTAATATGACGTTTTTGAGGAAAGATAGACCTTAGAACAGATTGAAGATGAGAATACCTTAATACCGAGGATGAAATCTCAGGTGGTAACTTGGCCAACAGATCGAATTCGATCTGGATGTTAGCAAGTACGGACGTGGTGCCATAGTACAGAGAGACCAATTGGGCGACGATGAACATTTTGTCAGGAACAAATAATGTGCAGTACGGACCGCCAACCGTATGGATGTCCCTCAACATCAGAATGTCTGGCTTTCTGTTCTCTTCGCTCGTTCTCCTCCGTTGTTTGAAAAGAGCCGTGATCCGCTTCTTCAAAACAGGATCCGCCAAAATTAGGGATCTCCAACGCTGCGAAACTAACAGTGCGCAGAGTAGCGAACGATCGTCCAAATATCTGAAACATAGAAAAATAAACAATTTTTAGTAGGTATATGCGTAATATCAAAACAGGAGCAATAAAAGGTAATAAATAGTAGTAGGAAGGGTTGGTGGAAAGTTGAACCTTAGGACAGGAGACTTACCTTAAGACCGAGGACGAAATCTCAGGCGGTAACTTGCCTATCAGATCGAATTCGACCTGGATGTTAGCAAGTACGGACGTGGTGCCATAGTACAGAGAGACCAATTGGGCGACGGTGAACATTTTGTCAGGAACAAGTTGTCCACAAGTGTCCGATGGTGGAATGAATTCTTGTCACTTTCGCTACGTTTACAAAGGGCGATCGGTCCCATAAGCCATGGCCATTGTCACTCGGTTGGACCAGTGAGCGGTGGCCTTGACTATCGGCGACTTTCACTTTTAGCTTCTCTCCAACCCTTGGCAATGGCCTTGTCTTGGATGAACGTTGGATGCTAACTGGATGTTAGCAAATGTGGTTTTGTTCTGCGAGTCGGTGAACCGGCACTGGGTCTGTCTCCACTAGCGGGATTTGAGCTACGCGTTTTATCATTGGGCCATCTTCAGTGAGGAACTCTAATCTAACCGGGCGCTGATTTCCTGTTTCTATTTTCCATAAAATTTACCAACAAATTGATATTTTTTATAACAATGCATTTTCATTCTTTTATTTTTTACCATTAGACTCATAAGAATGTCTTGCACTGTTCTTTTTTTATTGAGATTAAGCTACAAATTTTTCTGTTATAATTTATATATGTAAGAAATATGATTATGTTTCATATATTCCTTTTTGTAGAATTTCGTTTAGATATCAACTTATTTACCTTGCTTGTTAATTTTAGGCGTTGCAACTCATCTTTGAGATTAATAGCCAACTGGCTCTATTCAGGGATTTGCTTATACACATTGGTACCTCCAGAGATTCGCCAGAGTTAAGAGAAAAGATCCGCAAATTGAGGAGGATGTGTGTGGACGCTTGTAAACACACGGCTCAAAATCTTCTCCCCCAAATCCGAAGGTACACACCTTACAAGTTTCGTTTTATTTAAATAATTATTATGTTTTTACGATTTCTATTTTTTATTTTATAGCGCAGTTGCTGATGGCATTCCAGCTGATCATCCGCACCTTATAATTGTATTTTACATGTGCCAACTTTTTCTAAGGGAGCTCGCCAAGTGTAGCCGACTTGTCCAGCTCATTCCAATGGATATGACAGGATATTTTGGTAGATTTTTTTCCGAATTAGTCCTAATTTAATATCATTTGTTGTGTACTCTTATATTTAGATAGATCATAGTTTTGTAATTTGAGTTCATTTAAAAAAAACGGGAGTACAGGGGGCAATCGAAGCAGGCTTAACAGTTAACACAGTTCAGTTGTACATTTGTAAACTCGAGACGCCTTACCGGCTTCACTTACTTGACTTACCGTTTTTGCTGAAACTATTTTTAGTGATTTTACGTTCAAAAATATTAGACAGGTGTCCGACCACTCGTGCCAATGGTCCTCAGGAGCCGAAAAAAGTACTATTTTATGTAATTTACCCGTATTAGTTTTAAATATGGGTTTCTGTTTTGTGCGCGTATTTTGAAGTTAAAATTTATCGATCGATTTTTTTTAGGTCGGACAAAATAATCACATCTAGGATAGTATTACATGATTAGGTAAATACACAAATGGATAAAATAACACATTCTTAAATGTTAATTTAGGTTTATTCATATTTTGCATATCAAAAATAGGTTGGGGGACCGCGGTAGCCGAGTGGTTAGCATGAGAGACTCTCACGCCGCGGTCGTGGGTTCGATTCCCACCGTCGCCTCTGGCCCTTTTTTCACAATAAACCCCCCCCCCCTCAATTTGAACACACATATAAGATTGTCACATGGCTAATATGCATAGTTCATAACGCAAAAAAAAAAAATAAAAAAATAATAGGTTTGGTTGTAAACATAAGACATTTTAAAAAGAAAATGTTTGTTACTCAATTTTTAAAAAAATTAAGTAAAGAAAAAATCAAAAACAAATAAAAATCTAAAAGAAATTTTTTTTGTCTCCTTTAAAACCGGGTATTTCCACCTCTGGCACGAATCAGGTCCGTTAAACACCTTTGCAGTCCTGATGAATTCTTTCCAATTCATCAAGAACAGCCGTTTTCAACTGGTTTAGATTGTTTGGACCTTGGTTTCGTCGTTGTACTTTTCGTTTAATTGGTGTACGATCGGGTTCAAATCTGAACTTCCAGTTGGCCACACCAAGCACTCAGTTCCAACATCATTCGGTAGTCATTCACAATACGTGCTCTATGGGGCCAGACATTATCCTGCATTAGCGAGAATCTCTCACCGATGTGTGGGGCAAGTGGCACTACATATTCTTAGATTATGTCTTGAAAGTACCTCTTTGAAAGTTAGAGATCTTCCTCGCTCAACAACTAATTCGGTGGGGGCGTCACACGAAATCCCACCTCAGAACATCAATCGCCCATCATGGAATGTCACCGGAGAAACCATACAGCATGGAGCGCACCATTCTCCTGAGTGTCTCCATATGAAATTACGCACATCTGAAGATTTGAAGCCAACTCTCATCACATCAATGAAAAGTACCTGTCCCCATTCCTCCAATGTCCAATTCTCAAGTTCCCGTACAAATTGAAACCTGGCCATTTTTTTAGTGTTTGGTAGATGGAGTACTCGATATTCCTCCGTCACCTGTTCACCACAATAAACTAATCTAATTTGGGGTCGATGGGGTACTTTAAAAGTTTTCCGCCGTAGACCCAAGTCACGCACGCAACATGAGGGGCGATGGAGATGCTACTTCACCATCAGCCCCTCCCCATTCACACCAATAAATACATTCACATCAACATACATTGATCGCACTCATTGTATTTGGTACACGGAGTAGTTCATATTCCTCCATCTACCTGTTCCCTACAATAAACTAATCTAAATTGAGGCCGATGGGGTATTTCGATATAGTTTCAGCCAGCTTCATCTCTGAGATATATCACCAATCCAGCTGCTTTTTTTAATTTTTTCTTTATTTTTACAAAAACATAAGAATATTTTTACATTAGTTAAAAATAAATAACAAGATTACATGATTTTATTACACCATAATATTCACCATGGCTATAATAACTCGCTTTCAGAAAATCGAGCAGGGCCGTCTAACTTGGGGAATGTAATCAGTCAGATATTACTTTGCAAGACAATAGCGCCCGACTTCAACCAGGAGGAGATTTGCAGCATTGCAAAGGACTCTCAGGAGCTGTCGAGACTTCTGAATGAAATGCAGGAATATCTTCCGACCCAAGACGTCAACTCGGGTTAATAACTGATAATATTTTCAATAGAAAAATTTCGAACGGAATTTTCAACCTTTCTTTTTTTTACAGAACGCCAGACTGCTTTGACAATTGAAGATGGAAGTACGAAATGGAACAAAAAGTGCAGACGAAACTCTCTTTATCGGAATTTTGGCACATTCTGCTGTATCCACAGACACAACTACCTTTGATAAGAACCATCAATTTTTTTAAAGCTATTATGTACATTTTGTCATATTCTCATTGCAAAAAATATCTTTCAAACCATCAAAACACTGTATGATTAATAGAATACAAATCAAATTATCTCTTAAAAGTGTTTTATAAAATATCTGTAAGTCTGTAAGGCATACTTATAAAATTTCTTAATGCACAATCGGTAAGGTATTGTGAGCACAGCAGAACACGATTTGTATACAATTAGATTGAGAGTGAAACTTACATCCCTGTTTAAAAGATGTAGAGAGAAAAACTTAATATAGTAAGGATGGTGGTCCAAAACCAAAAATATTTAACGAATCAAATCCTTAATACTCACTTGACCCCTTGGATTAATTGACAGAAAGGCATCAGAAATATTTAAAACAAATATTTTTAAATATTTGTAGTTTTCTTTTCAGTTTACAATTTCCACCACAATTTAAATTCCTTTTGTAATTAAAAATACTGACAATTTTGTGGATCACCTTTCATTTTTAGATTGAAATATAATAATAAGATTCTATCCGTTATAAATCTGTTTATTATAATATTAATGTACGTTAAACAACAAAATCATGTTTACCAATAGAAGTTATTAGTAAAACAGTAAAATTTAGGTAAGCTATGAATTAGGAAATTTATCCTAAAGAGAAATTATTTCTGTTTTCGATCTAAAGTAATTCATAAAATTATATCTAAAAGAAAAAAGTGATATTTTTATTATATTATTTTTAATTGTTAATATAAATCGGTTTTAAGCTGGGGATCGACTCGATCCCAGTATACGGGTCGTTAAATAAATCCGTAGGATTTTTTTAATGGAAAATTTCAGGTACTTGTAAGTAAATGTAATCAACAATACATGAACTATTTTATTTCAATCCTGTTGCCGTCTTCCGTGTAATTTGCTAATCCCATCTTCCCAGAACTTCTCGGGTTTTCCGCACTTCTCTAGTGTAGTAAAGTTTTTCCAAACAAGTGAAACGAAACTGGGATAAATAGCTGGAAATATTTATAATACAATGCATGTATTAAATGGAAACAGAAAAAAGCTGAGATTTTACCCAAAAAAATTTTTACTTTGTTTTCTTGTTTTTAAAAATTGTTTGATGAATTGTAATATAAACTTCTAATTTATCAATTGGATAATTTATTTTATTAGGGTGAACGGCGTGTAAGACAAACACTTCGGCAACACTCATAGGTCTTGCGGGTTTAGTATAGTGTTCCGTTTAAGGCCCCCCCTTTATAGTCGAATTTGTTCGGATTTTCAATGTTCTCTCTCTCTTTTTTTCTTATCTTTTTTAATGGAACCTTATTGGTCATTAAGCCTTAAGCCCGTAAGGTCCTCCTCTTACAAGCTCACTGGAAATTTTGTGATCTTAGAGTCCGGAGAGGTACTCCTCAATCCAGCCCATGACCGACCAGCACACGCCACAACCGAGCGCTGCCACACCGCCAGCATGGTGCGCCAATAGAGAAAACGAGAATTAAGGGGATATGAAATTACATTTGATCTATTAGTTAGAGGCATGTTAAGAAGTTAAAAATTTTGTTTATTGATGTTGAATTATTGCTATTGTTAGTATGGATTGGATGTCTTTGAGGATTTGGTGAAAGGTTCTGGCAGAGGCATATGAAGTCACCCAATTATGATGTGGGTCTTGGTTGAGATGAAAAAGCTATTGTCTTGCATACAGATCTAGATACCATACCCTTGACAATAATTCTTAATTAATTTAATACAGCCTGTTCTGACTGCTAAATATATACATGGAAAGAAACACTCACTTTGTTAACAGCTCCTCGTGGCCTCTTCATAACTCGCCGAGAATCGGTTCTTGATTAGAAAATATCACAAAAAGAGGGAAAATTCGAAAGGTTGCAGGTTCAGATGAGGAGTGGCGTCAGAGTGGAACGAAGTCACGATAGCTCAAGTGATTAGAGCAGCGGCGTATTGAGCCCGAAGGTGGTGGGTTCGAATCCCGCTCGTGACACTAGATATTACACCTCAACCAAGACCTAAAAGACCTATAAAGTATAATTTATTTAAATAAGTAATATGGTCAATTATGACTACTAAATACATGTATGAATTTGTATTATATTGCCTCAGATTAATCGCAGTCCGGCAATTAAATAATCTTCAATGTTGTATTCACTAATTTCGTGGTCCGCTTGACCAATTAATACATTACAATTAATTAAGGTTTTTAGTTGAGATAAAAAAGTCAATGGCACGAGCGGGATTCGAACCCACGATCTTCGGCTAGATACGCCGCTGCTCTACCACTTGAGCTATCGTGACCTCGATCCACTCGGACATCAACTTCCTATCTCAATCCCACCTTATGAGTTTTCCCTCCTTTTTGCCATTTTTCAAATGTCGTGTAATCGGATTGGATTCTCGACGACAAATGAAATGGCCACGGAGAGCTTTAGTGAAGTGTACTTCATTCTAATCATTAAATTTACTAATTTCGTGGTCCGCTTGACCAATTAATACATTACAATTAACTAAGGTTTTTAGTTGAGATGAAAAATGGCAAAAAGAAGGGAAAACTCATAAGGTGGGGTTGAGATAGGAAGTTGATGTCCGAGTGGATCGAGGTCACGCTAGCTCAAGTGGTAGAGCAGCGGCGTATATAGCCGAAGATCGTGGGTTCGAATCCCGCTCGTGCCATTAACTTTTTTTCATCTCAACTAAAAACCTTAATTAATTGCTTCAGTGTTGTGTTGACCTTCGTACGAGGCGGACGTGTGTGTATCTAGCTAGAGGATTTAACAAGTAATAACAAGAGGAGAAAACTGCAATTTTGGATTGATTTATCTATTCCGTAATTTTTAATTTAACCGATTATCGAAGAAAGAAAGAAGAAAAAAATTGTGTTTTCCTTTTTTGGAAATGGAGGAAGATAGTGGAGGAATGCCAACTGTCCCACCCGACATAGATACAGTTGAAAACAAAAATCAGGTTGATTTTGAAACACAACGTTCTAAAATGCAACAAGACGAAAAAATGGAATTTAATGTCAAAGGGCCCGGTCCATTTGAAGTCATTCTCGAAAGCAACAATATTGAAGGGAATGGACTTCGAGATTACATCCGATGCCAATCGGTAGAATTATCCATGGGGAATGCAAAGAAATCGGCAATAACGTAATATCGATTAAAAAAGTAGGAAAAACATAATTAAATTACAATTTAACAACGCTGTCTCGGCAAATAAATTTCTCGACGCCCAACTAATCAAAGAAAAAACTTTAACACATACATTCCGAGATATCTTTTGATAAGAAGGGGCATTATTAAAAAATTTTTGTGTAGATTTACCAGATTCAGAATTAAGATATGTTATTAACGATCCATATGATAAAGATTTAAATATAATCGGTTTAAAAAGGTTCAACAGAAAATGAAAAGAGGAAAGTAGTAAGGACTGATTGGCTCCCACCCGATCAGTTTTAATTACTGTTCGCAGTCAGTATTTGCCTAATTATACGATAATTCATTGTATGAATAATACAATTGATGACTTGAAAATATTGCTGTAATATTGACCTTTATATTCAGAGAGTAATCCAATGCAAAAAGTGGTTCAGATATGGCCACTTTGCAGACCAATGTAAAGGAGAGCTAAGGTGCGAAAAACAACAGATACACGATGCATATATTGTAATTTAAAGCACAAATCAAAAGGTTTTCAAAGTTGTCCACAATTATAACGAAATTGAACAACTGAGGGGAGAACAAAATATATCGTATAACGAGGCAAAACAAAATATATCAGGAAACACGTATGCAACGCAGTTAACTAAAACTGTGCCATGTCTAAAAAGCATTACCGAATTCCCTCACGATAGAAAAAATGGATATACCAGGCCGACAATACGTTTTCACAAGTTCGTACAAAAGGACCGCGAAAAAGAGAAGATTTCTATAGCCACCTAGGCAAGAAATATTCAAACAACATTTGATCCAAACAATTTACACTGAGAGGCAACACCAAAAAATGAAATTGGGGGATTAATTAAAAACAGCCCTCATATAATTCAAAGAAAAAATCAAAATAACATAGATAATGATACAAAAGATGCTATTGTTGAAACAATATACTCGATAGTTAGAAGCAACAAAATGAAATAAAAAATAAAAATACAAAATAAACAATAGTATGCGCTGAAAGAAGTAATCCGTGACAGGATTAACAATTTAATGCACAGGTCTTGAATACGTACATGAATGTACATATAAGTAAAGATGGGTCGATCGTATTTAAAACTTTACTGTTTATACAAATGAATACAATTATGTTTACGAAAATATTTTATAATTACGAAAATGGAATCGATAAACATAATTCTATGGAATGGTCGACCTTGAGCATCCAAAAATTTTGAAAAGTTTATGAAAGAAAACAATATTTCTAGTAGGTTTTTAGTTGAGATAAAAAAGTCAATGGCACGAGCGGGATTCGAACACACGATCTTCGGCTTGATAAGCCGCTGCTCTACCACTTGAGCTATCGTGACCTAGATCCACTTGGACCCCAACTTCCCATCTCAAACGCACCCTTAGAATTTTCCCTCCTTTCTGCCATTTTTCAAATGTCGGGTAATCAAGTTGGATTCTAATTCTATGCGTAATATCAAAACAGGAGCAATAAAAGGTAATAAATAGTAGTAGGAAGGGTTGGTGGAAAGTTGAACCTTAGGACAGGAGGCTTACCTTAAGACCGAGGACGAAATCTCAGGCGGTAACTTGCCTATCAGATCGAATTCGACCTGGATGTTAGCAAGTACGGACGTGGTGCCATAGTACAGAGAGACCAATTGGGCGACGGTGAACATTTTGTCAGGAACAAGTTGTCCACAAGTGTCCGATGGTGGAATGAATAGACTTGTCACTTTCGCGACGTTTATAAAGGGCGATCGGTCCAATGAGCAGCCAAGGACCCAAAATAATGGGAACGAGAGGAAAATACCTCCTTTAAGAATGGCACCATCTTTTGGTACACAGATGGATCTAGAACACAAGCAGGTACAGGGCCAGGAGTATTCGATCTTGGAACCATATACTAAGAACCCATAGGAAAATACACCAGTATCTTCCAAGCTGACATTCACTCAATCAAGCGATTTATTCAATTGAACTTGACTAAAGGGTACAAAAACAAAAACATAACTATCATGTCAGATAGCGAAGCAGCCAAAAAAACACTAAGCTCAAATGTCATTAGTTCAAAGATGGTGTTGAAGTGCAAAACCAAATTAAACATATTATGTACTCAGAACAAAGTCAGCCTCTCCTGGGTCCCAGGATACATGGGAGTAGAAGGCAACGAGAAAGCGGACACCCTTGCAAGGAAAAAAGCTGCCACAGCGCTGATAGGACCCGAACCCTTCTTTGGCATAGGAATCCCCACTATTAATGAGTATCTCAGACAGAAGGACAAAAAGAAAATGAAGGAACAACGGAATTCACTCATTGGATACAGGCAATCCAAGAATCTCCAACCAACTTCGGAAGAAATGAAATTACAGAATGTGTCAAAGGAAGCAGGAATTAACTGCGAATCCTAATAGGATTCTAGGTCACTGCAAACCAAATGGACACTTAAGGAAGATTGGAATAATCCAAGACGGCACATGCAGATTCTGCAAAGAGGCAGAGGAGACACCAACACACCTACTAACAAACTGCGGTGCTTGCCCGCAGGAGGAAATGCTTTGCGATGTACAATGTCACCATAGAAAGAGACTCAACCATTGAAACCGTGCCTATTAATCAAGTTCCTTGATGAAATAGGACTCACCGGTGCTATAGACACAGAACGGGGATACAATAGCTCTTAAAGAGCGCGGTATATCACACCCCGACAATTACATCTACATTTATATCTACTAGTTGTAATATAACGAATAGATTTTTATATTATCATTATATTGAAAAAAATGTTCTCTTTTTGGGTTCTCTTTGGACATTAACGATCATCAAGTCCTGCTGAAAAGTTATTCTTTTTTAATTTTCAGTACACTTTTCTCCAAAATTGTTAACGATAATAACATTATTTTCTCAATTTTGTGTAGCAATAATAGACAAACAATCGTAGGGAATTATGTATTTCAAAACCAACCAGAAGTGGAGGTAAAAAGTTGAAAAATGTTGTCACAACGTTAGATTGTTGTAACAAAAAGTAACAATTCGCTAATTTTAAAAACCTAGCTAAGAATTCATAATAGACTAAGCCAATAAAAAAGGTTGATTCTGAAAAATTATTTTCTGAAAAGAAATTCCGTTTATTTATTTTGTTCTATTTTCCTTATAGAATTACAACCTTTTGAGCACATAATGAAGTAAATTTTTGAAGGGCTTGAAATAATTTTTTGAAAGTAAAAATCAAGTATTTTGGGTGGATCTGGTCTCGATGAATTTGTTCCATCCGTAACATTTGACTGTCTTTTATGTATATTGTCTTTGAAAACCTATTATCCAAATTTACCAAATTCTTCCATTAACTCCTTGCTCAAAGGAGTCAGCGTGTAAGGACAAAACATTGCATTTATTTATTTCATTCTTTTCTTCTATTTCATCTTTAAGCTTTTGAGCCGATAATGAAATTAATCGTAGGAGATTACAAGCCGTAGAAGGGTTTTAAATAATTTTTTTGATAGTTAACAATCAAGTTTCTTGGTCTAATTTGACTTGACAAACTTGCAAATATTTTAAAGAATAACTCGTTTAAAATCTTGCATGTATCTTTTAGTGTCAAAAAGTACCTTGAGGAATAAAACATTCTCTAGAGGAAAGAGAAAAATTCGAGCTGTCGGAAAATAGCCTAAGTGTAAGTCAAAGTTAATTATATAAGAAATAAGACATTCTAAGGCTTTGACCAGCCCACCAAGAAGCGATAAGCCATATATCCTGTCCAAAAAGTAAACAAATATAAGCCGACGAGATGTTTAGATTGCCAATATATTTTTGTGTTTTAACGTGTCGTAAATGTTCCCCGGGCGGAAGGCCAGCATGTCTTTCGTACTCGGCCCCTTTTATCAATTTTAACATTCACACGAATATAGAAAAGTGAGGAAAAATGTCAATGGAACACTTGTACTGGGACGACGGGCAGGAGAGCGAAGACGGAAGTTTTGTCGAAACGCTAATCGAAGGGCGTCCAAAATCCGACCAACGTCCATACGTGCAAACCGACACCGAGGACTTTTCAGAAACAATTTCGCCCCCTTTACTCTTCGCAGACACCAACGAGAACAACAACGTGTACGACAGCGAATTATTTAAAGATAAAGAGGTCGTACCGTGGCCGTTGACGCCTCTCACAGCATGTCACGGTGAGTTGAAAATTTCGCAACATAACTTTTTTTTATTACCATTATTTACTTTTTGGATTTGGATAAAATTAGACAGAAGTAAGATCTTGTAAAAATTGTGAAACTGACACGTTTAATATTTCCAAATTGCATCTTGCCAAACATGTCCTAAGTATTAGTCTAAGCATCATAAAACTTACTCGAAGGAACACGATTCATTATCATAAGGGATGTATGAAATACATACAAATATAATTTAGAATTAAACGATTATTCTGAATTATTTATGCCAAATATTAAATTTTTCTGTTTCTGAAGTTTTCTGCATTTCCCAAGGATTTTGCTACAAAAAATCGATTTTCCCTTAAACAATTTCCTCTTAGAAGCCAGAACTGTTCTAATTTTTCAAATAATACCATACCATGAAAATTATTATGCCTTTTTGGAAATAATTATTCAGAAATCGTGAGATGCGGTCTGGTGTGATGTAGGCTTCAGAAAAACATTTTCTTTATCAACAAACATTGTTTAAATTTGTAAACCCCAGGCCCTGAAGATGATCTCAATAAAGATCGAAACGTTGGCATGATAAAAAAAATGTTTTTCTGAAACCTACATCACACCAGACCGCATCTCACGATTTCTGAATAATTATCGACTAACGGCCACTAATCACCACACCTTTTTGAAAATGTTTTCACAGCTTTGCCAGTCGCTCCACTAGGCTTTAACAACTTCGTATTGCTCTGTGGAAACTGTGCTTGTTCTTTGGATGGAAGAATAGTCAGCCTACCGTAAGTTTTTTCCATCCTCTGTTCAAAAATTAATGTAATTATCATTATTATCTTTATTCCTGTTTATTTCTATATTTTATCTTTTTTTGTTTTTCTTTTTTTTAATTAATAGTTACTAATTTTATAAAAAAATATAAGCTTTGTGATCCATACAAGTATTAAAATGTAAAAACTGCAGTATTAAAAAATCGGGGATAAGTTAAATTTGAAAGAAAACAGTTCTTTGGCCAAATTTTCGTGAAATGTATCCCCTTTACCAGGACTTTAAAACAATTATTACTAATAGCACCGAGGGCGTCGGTGTCCAGAACGGTTTACGCGTTGACACGGCGCTCATCACGGTGAGGTGAAGGTCGCGGGTTCGAATCCAGGGATCCTGCTTTCGAAACAACACCGGCACCCTGAGCGTTGATATGGGCTCTGATGTTGCAAACCCTCGTAAAAAAAAAGAAAAAGAAAAAACTGGTTAATGGTATGTATTCGTCAAAAGCTTGACGAAGGGAATGAGACTTTTCTTCTGTATTTAGCATTATTTAATCAACTAAAATTATAAAAATTGAAGTCTGATATCAATTATCTAAACATAAACTACATTATTTCAAAAATACAGGTAATTTTTTTTTGTAAATTGTCTAAAAACATTTTTAGATATTTCGAACATACTGGATGTATTCAATAAATATAACGAATAATCTGAATAACCAAGGCAAAACATTTTTTTACGAGGGTTTGCAACAGCACCTCAGGGTGCCGGTGTTTTTGAAAAAAAAAGCGCATTTGTAAATATGTCGGGTTGGAATGCAGGGCCGCTGGATTCGAACCCATGCCCTTTACCTTATAGTGATGAGCGCTGTGTCAACGCCTAAACCGCTGCGGCCACCGACACCCCCATTAATTAAGTTTTTAAAAGTGGTTTCAAATTTCTGTGAAAACTAACTCAGTCGCAACTTTGCGAAAGACTGTTTTGCCTTGGTATGACCTTAAAATAGGTCGAATTCAATTTGTTTCTTCATACCAAGATCCAGATTATTCGTGAGTTAAAAAGTTGTCGATACATCTAACTGTTTCAACAGAAACTAAAATCAATGTAAATATAATAAAATTATTATGTATAATTGCATGGCAAAATCAAATGAATTAATATGATGATTAATATCAAAATTACTCTTATAATACCTTCAAAAATTAATCGGTCGATAAATATACCAAATACACTTTAAAATTATAACTAAATACTTTATTTTTTGTTATTGATATAAATTCGCCTATTTATTTTATTTTATTTTTAGCAGTGCTGATCATTTTTCATGACTGAAATTTCATTTTTGGGTAAGTAGTTCAATTACATAACACTTATTTTAATACTTATTGCCAAATATGCCCATTATTGTTTTCAAATATTCGCCATTTTACGATTAATAATACATTCAGAGAATATATGATGCAACCATAAGTTAAAAAATTACTGTGCTTCAGTCAGTAAAGAAGGCGAAACAAAATTATTTAAAAAAAAGATTCGTTTTAACCACATCAGATATTAAATACTATACAGTAATTAATATATATACTTAAATAAAATACTTAATGTAAAGTACTTATAATAAAATACTTTACAGTATTTAATAACTTTATAAATCACAAGTAATGGCATAACCATCACCTCCGTAAATACATAAATACATCCAAACAGGAGATATAAAATAAAAAGTTTTGGGAGTTTTTGTGGATTTCATCCTTTATTTTCTCAATTTTTATAACATAAAAACTAAAGTTTGTTCAATTAGGCTAAAAAAGGAGAAATTAAGCTTTGTATTGGTCATAATAACGTTATGAGTTGATGATTTGCTGTGTGATGTGTTATGAATTTTTAAGCGGAATATGTCTAGTGGGTCCACTAGGCGAAACCTAAATTGCCACTTACCCAGCCGATTTTTTTTTATTGATGTAAAAATTTGAATTTCATTTTTTTGGATAATGCCTAAAATTTCTTTTGCCTATTTTTACAACCGTTTACATATCTAAATCTCATTTAATGTAATCCTGCATATTATTATCTTATCATAGGTAAAAAAATAAATCGACTGGTATGTAATAACCTAGAATTACATGCACATTAAAGGAAGAAAAATAAATTTTAAAAATCTTTCAAATATTCTTCCGAAGGTCGTGGGTTCGAATCCCGCTCGTGACACCAGCTTTTTCGTCTCAATCAAGACTTTAAATTAAAAGTATAATTAATTCAAATACTTAAAATATTGGTTTTTCCGCTGCTGAGGGCCTATTGGTAAGAACTAATACTCAATAAGAATTTGTGACTGAGCGACACTTTTTTCAAGACACAAAGTTAATCAAAATTTAAATTAGTTAATACTAAATCCCTGAATATAGATTTTTGGGAAAAGCAGAAAAAAAAATTCTCTCAAATTTTTCCCTCCAAGCCTCGGATCCTTTTCCAAAATCACAAAAATGGTTATAACTTTTAAACAACTCCACCAATTTATTCGAAATTTTATAGTATTTTAGAACCTTATACACTAAACTTACGAGCATAAACGTCGCCTACGTAAATAAAGCAGAACCGGAGATATAAAATAAAGGTTTGGGGAGTTTTCCATGGCTTAATCTTTACTTTTCTTACTTATAACGGCATAAAATCGAAACCTTGTTTGCATAAGCTGAAAGAAGATAATTTCACCTTTCTATCAGACATAATAACATTGAATTTGGATAAAATCCAGAGGAGGTATGAATATTTGATACCGGACACTGGAGAAACAAAAAATAGCCCTTAGGCTGATCGAGCCCAAAAATTACTAGCTTTTAGAAGTACGGGTTCACTTAAAAACATCCTCTCAAAACCTAAAGACAAAGTAGACAACTTGGCAAAAAGCGGGGTTTACCAACTCAATTGTAATGATTGTGATATTAAATATATAGGACAAAGCGGTAGAGAAATAAAAACAAGAGTAAAAGAACACTTGCCTAAATCGAGCAAATTTTCGGAATTTAAGGACCATCTAAAAGAAACAAAACATAATTTCAATTCAAATTTAAATACAAGAGTGTTACATAGTTTCAACAAAGGGAAAGAACTAGATTGGTTTGAGAAATTTGAAATTAAAAAATGTAAAATTGAACATGGTGATAAATGCATTAATAATATAACAGATTTTGATCTACCTCCCATTTTAAATATGTACATAAATAATATCAAACATCCAAATAATTAAACTAATTATTTTAATTGTTATTATTTTTATAGTAATTTAATAATGTTAAGTATTTACTAGTATAATATTTATTTGTGTCATAATTTCCGCGTTTCGCACGTTCAAATTGAGCGCCATTAAAAAAATCAGCTGCTAATTGGAACGTCGCGTTGGCGGAGGTATCAACGGTTCACTTTGGCAATTCATGTCGAGAGACGTGGTTGTGGAAGTCCTTCAACCTGATGATGTGCTAAAAGGCTCGAAATCCGGATCTTACAAAACAACTTACTGTGAGTAGGAACTATCTTTTTAAAAAAGGATTGAACACCACACTCACTCCACCATTTATCATTTCTATTATCATTTCTATTTATCATTTCTAAAAATTACTATGTTTTCTTTGCTGTAAAATTCGTATTTAAAAGCTTTATAGGTTGCTTAACACTAATTTAAATTGCTTCTAACTAAAACAAATTTTTTGGATTACTTTACTGGCAGTGTCTTTTCGTTTTTGTAACTTTTTATAAATTCAATCACACTTAATACGCCCTTCATATTATTTGTTTTCTTATCCTAGGTGAAAAACCAAAATGACTAATAATTTTGAAATACATGCACCTACAAAGACAAAAATTTTTCTGGGCTCCTAGAGCCCATTGGCAAGACAACTGGAACACATTTTTAAACATTTTTGACTTAGTATCACCAAAAAATATTAATTTATCTAAATGGCTACATTTATTATATAAATTAATTTACAAATTATACATTGTTTTTAGAACTCTTTTTTATAAATAATAAATTTACTTTGTTTCAGGAATGTAAGCAGAATTCTATTAAAAATCATCAAAACCAAGAAATTATATCATGATTGTGATGTGTGTAAATGTTGTCTCTGTTGAATGTAATTATTTAATGTTATGTATCTAAACTATTTATATTTTTTTATTAACAATGATTGTGATATTTTGCAGTTATGTGTTTCAGATTTTTTATCCCGGCAATTTTTTATCTTTAACATAATATTTACTGTAAAATAACATTTATTTTACGTATTGAAAGTGTTTTTTCAAAATCATTTTTTAATTGTCACCATTTTAAAACCAACAAGTCCCTATGTAGATTCATTTTATAATTGTATTTATTGCATGACTGCTATTATTATTTTCATACTTTTGCAAGTGAAACATTGAAATGAAATAATAAATAAATTGCTATGATTGAACGTAAAACCATTGGAGTGTATTTGTTACCCGGCTTTCTACTTTACATTAAAAAAAATAATTAATTGAAAGAAGTAATTTGGTCAGTATGACCACTAAACATAATGTATTTAATAAGTAAAAACGAAGTATAACTTCACTAACAGCTCCCCGTGGCCACTTCATATGTCGCCAAAAATCAAATCCCTGATTACACGACATTTGAAAAATGGCAAAAAAGAGGGAAAATTCGAAAGGTTGTTGGTTGAGATGGGGAGTTGGTGTCTGGGTGAATCGAAGTCATGGTAGCTCAAGTGGTTAGAGCAGCGGCGAATTGAGCCGAAGGTCATGGGAATCCCGCTCATGACACTAGCTTTTTCATTTCAACCGTCACCTTATATACAAAGAAGAATTAATTGAAAGAAGTAATTTGGTCAATCAGACCACTAAATATAATGGATTTTATAAATTAAAATGTTTTGTATAAAAGATAACAGTTAAAAGTATTTATTATAATCCATGAATTAGATTTGAGGATTTAGCTTTGTTTACATGACAAGCATTTACTAAAATAAAACAAATTTTCAAAACCTGCATTAACTTTGCACCAACACAATAATACTCTCTAAAATTTTGTGATGGTTTCTGCTTTGATCTAACTTTATTTCCTTGAATCTCAGGAGTCTGTTGGCACTGTCAAAAGCCACCTTTTTTTACATATGTTGGGCAGGTATGCATTGACCCTGTTATATTAAGACCCACTGGTCTGTACAGACTTTGTAGCATGTTCAGTGTTTTGGGCCGGCATACTAGAGCTCCATCTGTGCCCATGGGTCTGACCATTGTGGTGCATATTCAATAAGCCATCCTAGGGTTTATTCTCCAGTTTTACTGCTTAGTGCTTAGTAGAGCCTTGGCTTTATGCTGAATGATTTATATGCGTCCTTCCCAAAGCCTATGTTGAAGGGTTATATTTTAGGTACTGGGTTCTTTGGAGAAATGTAAGGCTTCATCTTTTAAAGTAGGCGCTGTTAGAAGCTTCATTCTTCTTGCAAAAGATACAAGATTTTTTGTTAGGATGTTTAAACCAATTTTCTCATACCATCTTTGTTATACACTATTACATGTTATATATAAATGTAGATATAATATGTATGGATGTATAGATATATTAAGGGATATTTGGGAAAGTTGCGGGAGGAGAGAAGAACAAGGTAGTAGATGACTGGATGTCAGAGTATAAAATAAAAAGATTAAATAAACAAGTGCATTTACTGAGTATCATATCTTGACGATAAACTGTTAACAGTGTGTGGACTAGTATAATCTTCCTACAATATTTATGGCGTTTTGCATTCGATTTGACAGTATTGTAGAATTTCCCTTTTATGATTGTCACCAAGTCATCTGCATAACCTTTGCCATTCTGTTCTAAGCTGGTAAGCTCTTTAGTTCGATCAAGCAGTCCTAGTAACCAAATAAGTCACGAAATAACTTCTTCTTACTAGATCTTAGGGAAAAATTAAACTTTTATGTGTACATTTTTATTAAATGAAGTATATACATGTACATTTTTCCTTTCCTTCTGAAACTGAGATTTTTTTTTATAGCTCCTAAATCTTAAACTTTGGTATATTTTCTATGATGTTAGAATCTATTGTTTATAAATTAACTACTAAAACAATATTACACTATTCAAACTTTATGCAATTTAAAATTAAACCGAGTCTTGTATAAAAATTAGTATTTTTTTACAATTCCTATTATTTTGGGATTGAACTAATCCAAATAATTTTATATATAAAAATAAATTTTATGAATTTACTTGTTCCATTGCAGTTTTAATAAATAAAGCACAGTCAGTATGACATATTCTCTCATTGTTTTTTGTATTAATTGTACACAATTGTTTTTTATCGTTAACAATGGGCTCACAATCTATCATTTTTTTTGCTTTTATTACATTAGTAGAATTAAATAGTTTTAATCATTTTCAATGACTAGAACTGTGATATTTCCCCTTGAAAGGTACATAAAAATAAACATTTATATTTCTTTTTTTATTTTCAACGGACTGTTCATCTGTATAATTATTTTGCTTTTGAGCATGATGACAAATATGTTAACTCTGAACGTGATATACAATGTTTAAAATTAAAATATGAAGAATTTCATTCAACGACACTACACAACACATTTAACACAAATACTATTCTTCTAATTTTTTTTTTTAATTCATTGAAGTTATATGAAGAATTTTTTGTTTATACATTTTACTGAATCATATTAGATCTCTTAATGAAAATTTTTCAAAAAAAAGTGTGATTCAAAGGTTTAACTAATTTAACATTATACATGAATACACTGTTGTTAAATTTAAGTTTGAGGTCATTCTCCCATGAGAATATTTACAAAATAATTTCTGATCTTCTTGAAAGGAACCAGACTTTCATCGGTTCCGATTTCCCTTTCATGGTTATCGGGCCCCTGTATGTGAATTTAAATTGAGAATCTGCGTTGGACTTCTCTTGAAGGCACCTGGACAAAATAACGCCAAAATTATAATTATAAAATGTAAAATGAAATTCGCCTAATTACTGATTTATGTAAGATCAAATCTGCACACGTGCACATTCACTCATGTATGAGTTAAACACTCTCCCAGTCCACCCGCAATTCTCATTTATGTGGTTTACAATAAATTATTGGCAGGTCTCGAGAATCACCCACCTCCGGGTATAGGCAGTTCGGGGTATGACCTTGTTCTTATCTGCCTTATCTAGGGGCTACCTACAGCTAGGTTATTTTAGTTCCCAACACAAACAATTCCTAATTCCAAACCTATTCACACTCACACCCATTCCTAAATACAAACTTTTTTATTTAGATACGATTAACACATCTAGGTATCGATATTCCTCCATCATCCTTTTCACCTAAAACTAACCTAATTGAGTGTCAATGGGGTTACTCATTATTCTGCCATCGACCTTCTCACACCACATATTCACGCTAATAAATACATTCACTCTCAACAAACACTACGGGCACAAAAGTGTGAATACTACAAACAATAACACAAACAAGAATCATAGCAGGGGACCCCAATACTCGCTGCCGAGCTACAATTCTCATATAGGGGCGCTACATGCTCTCTATATGGAGCCCAGATGATGCTCCCTTCAATCACACATTGAGCAACCTTTCTCTCACATACGCGACATACGCGGGCTTTGGTCCAAAAATAAGCTACAAAAACCTAGAAAAATAAATCTTTTCCATCTTACTAAAATTTTAGGAATGATCACCTTTCTTTAAATAGTAAAATAATATAGTGAGTTTGGTAATCCAATATGGCTGGAATATTTTACAGTAATAATGTACGGAAATTACTGTACGTTTGAATAGTTTGTTCATTTGATTATTTTTAATATAAAATAACTGGCTTCTTAAAAAGAACTTTCTGACATTTCTCAAATTGCTTCATTGTTATATTTAAAAGAATTTCGCAAACATACAGGAATTTTACTTTAAATGCTTAAATTATTTACCAACTACTAATTTTTGGTTTTTGGTTTAAAGAAAGAGTTAATTTGAAATTTAAAAAGGTTAATTTGAAGTTAAAAAGGTTGATTTGATGTTGAAAAACTCAATTGGTGATGTAGTACTATACTATACCACCCTTTATACTTATTATATAACTATCCTAATTGAGTGTTAATTTTGTACTCCATATTCCACCATCAATCCTCTCACACTACACATTCACGCTAATAAATGCATTCACTTTCAACACACACACTAGCTAACACAAAAATATCAATACTATAAGCAATAAAACAATTCTGTTTCCCCCAATAATTGTAACAGGTGACCCAGATACTCACTGCCATGCTCAAGCAAAATTCTCTTATCGAGTGGTATTATTATTAACTTTCTATATGAGGACGTGGGATGACGATCTTCAATGAAGTGAGGGACATCAAGCAACCAGACACATACATGTGGTTTGGTCCACAAACCAATGAGAATTAAAATCAAAATAAAGTTATTTATTCCAAGCACCTTTGTTTTCAAAGGTTAAAGTTATGTACTAGATTCCTGATTTTATAAGCTCATGTACATACAGACATTGGTACTGTATGTATTTATCGGTTGCCGAGATTGAGTTCCAGGGGCTATGAACAGTTAGGTCATTTCAGCCCCCAACGCAATCCACAAGTTCCTAAATCGGAACCCATTCACTCTTACTCACTCTTAAATGCATTCTTTCTTACTTACATTCCATAAACTCAGTTACGGTGGTGGAGTACATGATATTCCTCTGTCAAATCATATAACTAACCTAACTAAGTGTTGATAGGTTATATTACACCATCGGCCCTACACATTCACATGAATAAATACATTCACTCTCAACACATACTAGGAACACAAAAATATCATTATCAGATTCAATAAAACAACCCTGTTTCCTCCAAGACCCGAAACAGGGGACCCAGATACATGCTACTGTGCTTAAGCACAATTCTCATATGGGGTGGTACTCCTCTGTGCAATTTACCTGTAAGCATCTTCCGAAACATTTATTCTCCCTTGTTCGCCAGTAGTTTCAGTTCGGGATGTTAAATTGACAGTGTTCCCAAATAGACAATACCTCGGCATCCTGTGTCCAATGACACCTGTCACAACTTCTCCGGAATGAATACCAATTGTAATGTTCTAAAAATGTATTATTATTTAATAGGCTAATAAACAGTACCCTTCAGTACTTAATGTTATGATGTATATAAAGTTTACTTGCAATTTGGTCGTTATTAGGGAGCTGAAATTGAAATGACAAAAAAAAATGTTATAATCTTTTTTTAGTAGTTAAGAGAGCAGTGGCAGGTACAGGCCTATAATCCTCAAATGTTGTCTGCTGAGAGACATAAGCTCCTTCACCTTACTTTTGGAGAGATTTAACAATCTCCTAGCTTGCCTCTTGCTTGGTGTTTTTATTCACTGCTTGAGTTTTTCTTTCACACGCCATTTTTCCATTTCCATTTTTATCACTTGTGGGCCAATACTACTAGTTGTGGTTCCAATGGTTGAGAGGGCCCTTCTTTGTATAGTTAATCAGCCTTCCATTTCCTTCTATACTTTCATGTCCCAGAACCAAGCTGTTAGGAAATTTAAGCACTCCCGGACAAATTTGAAGCTCAAAGCATAGGATTTTAGTGCTTTCATAACTGCCTAACCACTAACCAGCCACAAGTCTAATGGGTTTTGCTAGGGTCTCTGCTTTTACACCTACTGTTCCATCTTTGATCCATCAGTGTACCGTACCCATCCAAAAACATAACATTGTCGTTTTTTAAACGTGCTTGTTATGTATGACCACTTTGAAGGGTGTGTCAAAGTTTTGTGATGGTTTTTCTCTAGATTTGTTTTATTTCATTGTAATTAGGAAAATATTGGCCCTCTCAAATACCAGTGTACACGTAAGAGTGGGAGACTGAATGCAGTTTCTGTTGCTATTCTATGACAACACATCACCCCTGTTATGCTAAGACACACAGGGTCTTTGTAGACTTTGCAATTTTTTTTGTGTCCCCTTGCTCTGTGCTTTTGGCCATCATGCTAGTTCTTACTATTGTGGTGTATAACTAAAACGTCATTCTGGAGTTTATTCCTCATGTTATGCTGAGATGTTTTCTTAGAATTGATATTTAAACCTATTTGCTCATACCATTTTTTTTCTTCAATTTTAGGGTGTTTTGTGTCTGATCTGACAGTTTCATCAAATTTTTACCAGGGTATCTCATAACCTATAGTATTTATCCTAAATTATTAAGCTCCTTGGTTAGGTTATCTACAACTAGCAACCATAGAAGTGGCGAGTCCTTGTGGGCATGGAGTAGCTGATATTTGTACAGTCTGATGATCAGGTTCAGCAATTAATTATCTGACTACTTAACATTGCTAATATCTAACTGGAGGGAAGGTATTTCCTGTTTTTACAAACATCCCCTAGACACAACACTGAAAGTGGCTAAATGCTGAAACACATATGACAGGCAAATGTGATAAATTAATACACAGACTAAAATGATTAGCAACGACCAAATTACACAGACAATACAAAGTAATACCATTATTTTGAGTATAGTTGTTAAATATTTCTTTATTACTTAATAATATTCAAAAAAAATTTACCACTGGGTTTTCATCAATTTTAACTTCTTTCACCAAATCCATCATGTCTAGGGCTAATCGAGCAATACACCTTGCATGATCATCGCATGTTTCTGGAAGGCCACTTACAGCCATATATTTGTCACCGACTGTTTCCACCTGAAAAATTAATCTTCAGATCTGATAAAATAACTCAAATAAATAACCATAAAAAATTATTCGTCGGCTCACTTTACCTTGTAAACATTGGGGTTTCTTTTTGGGTCGGTTAAAACGTCAAAAGCTGTGTAAAGACTGTTTAGGAGTTGGACAATTTTCATGGCACCCTGTGAGTCTGTATGTGCGGCACAATAATCGCTGAATCCAACAATCCCAGAAAACAGTAGAGTAACACATCCATATTTTTTTGGTGCGACTGGTCTCTTATGTCTCAGTTCATTAGCAACACTTATTGGCAATACTGAGTAAAGTAATCTAAAAACATGTTACAGTCTAACATGAGATTGTTTTGTATGTGGGTGTATCTTAAGGGTCAGCATTAGGTCCCTTATTATTTATTTTTTATATGCAAATGATATGTACCATAGTTTAAATAAATTTGTGTAAAATATATTTTCTCAATACATAAGTTGAGCATTAGCTAAAAATTGGTATTTCACGAGATGAAATGGTTACCTGTCAGTTTTTTGTTTTTCGCCATCCAATTCTCTATATGTGCTTTGAAGCTTATCGGTGAGAATTTCCAAATTTTTAGTCAACTTGTAATCAGCCTCAAATTGTTCAGACATTAATACGAGATCCCTTGTTGCATCGTGTAGTGGTATGTCACTAATGTATAATCCCCGACTGTAACACAAAGGTTAGAAATTTAATATTAATAAAATCATGCGCATGTCATTGGTTGGTTTATGGTCTATGGTTATTTTTGGCCCTCTAGTAGTTGCATTTAGGCTGATTCATGTGTGTTTTATGTATTGTTCAGGCATTTGAGCATTATATTTTCTTTTTTTCCCATTTCTTTAAAGTAGTAGCATCTACGATGGGCTGTAAATTTGGTAAAAGAAAAACATATGACATATAGACATGGATTTTGTAAAAACTACATCAACGAAATAACCTGAACATATTTAGAAACTGATTAAAACAAAAATTTAAATTAAAGAATCAAATTTGACTTATTAGATAACAAAGTCTTGGGTGAAAAAATAAAACAGAGAGTAGCTGCAGGGATAAAGGGACCAAATCACAACCTGGCAAAACCACTTGGACTGGTTACAACTGTCTTCCAAGCTGAGGTCCATGCAATCCAACTGTGAGCACAGGAGTTGATACAGAATAAAATGAAAAGTGTGCAGACGGTGTGAAAAATGGGTTTAAATATCAACCCTAATATTTAAGCCTATTAGGGTTGATATTTAACCTATCTATCATTCTTATGTCTTATATCGTAACTTATCTTTCATACCCTTTACAAGAAAACAAAAAAAAATTCAATTACTTTTGGGCCAAAGCCTGCATGTCCGGCAAGAAGAGAAATGCTCCTTGATGTCAACATAATTAAAGGGTGTCATTCTTTGGCTGCATATTGAGAGCATGTAGGTATACGACCAGAATGAGAATTGTGCTGCTGTATTCCAATTTTGTAGGAAACAGTGCTGTTTTATTGTATATTATTGTATATAGCACTTCTTAGTTACCTTGTTTTGTCCTTCAGAGGCCTTGGCTTTTTCAGCAGGAGAAGGATTCGCACAAACATAGGACAGGTGATGTGTCTTCTTCCTGGCAATATCTGCACAGACTTGTTTCTGGGTTCTATGAGCATCAGATCTTTTGGATGTATTCATGGACTATTTTGCATGCGACATTTTTATTTTCTAATGCTTCTAGGTTTGCTATTACCGCATCTATTTGGCTTGTACTTTTCCTAATTCTTTAGTTCAATTCAATTGACTTGATTTAAGAAGGCGGAGGTCATTTAATGTTGTTTTCTTATTTCTTTTTTCCGGGTCATTGAGGTAACTAAGGTTATTTCTCCATTGAGCTTTCACAAATTGGGTCATCGTTGAACCCATGTGTAGGTGTCTTCTCATACGCCATTAACCTATCACTCCTTTGAGCTATTTAATTATTGATTATTTATTGGGACTGAAATTAGACAGGTCTAATTGTGGCAATATGTTTGCCAAGTTTGGTAGCTAACAGTCCTAACAGGTTCTAGGTTTAGTGGTTCTGCCATTAGTTTTTTCGTCTAGGTTAAACATAACAGGTTTGGTGCTGAATTGACCTGTTGAGAGTCACTAAACTCTAACTTTGGCATAACTGTTGACTGTCATAACCTGACATGTGCAGATTTGAGCTTTTATAAATTAGTATTAAATCATGAATCATTGAAATATAAATCAGTATTGAACATTTATGTGATAGTGCCTTACCTTATGAGATCATCAAGATTCATAACACTCGGGGAACAAATGAAAATGACCATGTCACTTTCTGGTACATAAAGCATTTGACCCTAGAATAAAATGGTCAAAAATTATACTACAAATTGGTCCAATTAGAATTTAAAACAGACATACTTTTAGCCTCATTGCGGATAATTCAGGAGTTTGGCTTTTGATGATCCCCTGTTTGGTTTTAAGAACATAAACTGTATTTATGTGGGCAAGGATATTATCGAAAGTAATTTCCAAATGTGGCCTGACCTGCAAAAAAAATTCCAAATGTAGTAATTCCTTTGAATTCAGCATGCATGTGACAAAAATGTTGAAATAATACTCACAGGGTCTACCAAATCAGTTAAATGACAGAGAGGAGAGGTTGCTCTTGGAATTATTCTTGCAATAGCAGATCCTGTTTGATGAAGTTTCAGCTCTCTATCGAACATCATGTGGAAAGGAAATATATTACAAAATGTTTTCGGACTAATTTTTGGCTCTGAAACACAAATAGTAATGTTAAATTGTAATTAGAACTTAGGTACAAAAACGTAAAGCTTTTTAATTCTACCTTGTGATAGGGTCTCGAATTCATTCAAATCAGGAGGTGCAACTTTCCCATTTCCACCTTTTTCGGTGATTAAAAATTGAACATGGTCACACTCTTCTTTAGTTTTTATTATTTCAACTTTAACTTCAGTGTTGTGCAGGCTGCTTGTAACTTCCTTTAAAAATGAATAATTGAATATTAAATTGTTCAAGTGGAGCAAAATATACTTACTTTTACAATACCGATGACGATGTGTTCCAATCCTGGCCTATCTGAGTAATAATGCAAAATCAAAGTGCCAGCGTCTGACTGTTCTGTACATCTAAATGAAGGGGCTCTCATTCCGGGGTACAGGGTGCCCAAATGGTCATGAAGCGCATCGAGGTTCTGTTTTGAATTATTTGAAATAAAAAATAAACTTTATTCTTGAACTTAAAACTTCCTTGAATATATAATAGAATAAGTAATCATGATTACAACATATTTACAAGGATTCAGGCCTGAAAAGGCTATACAAAAAATTATACTATGATGGAAGTTAAACGAAAAAGGGACAATAATGAATATTTGGTGCCAATTTGAGAGGACCGGAGGTAATCAAAGAGGCATGACTTAAAGTGGAAAGGGATGGCATTTGGTGCATGGAGACAGGACAGAATTCCTTAGGTTGGATATGTTACGAAGTGAGTATTAAACTCATTATGAAATGTTAATTCAAACATAAAATTTAAATTGTAACACAATGATTATAAAAGTTCATTTTGCCTGATCTTACTTGTAGAAAATCCCGCGGTGTTGCACCAAGACATTGAAGAATTTTGTCATATCCAGAGTCCTTACAAAATTCGAAAAACATTTTTCCAAAAAGTTCCAGTATTGTATTTGCTGGGATTTCTAAAAAAAATGAAAATAAATAAATAAAAATAAAAAAGTGAAAAGAAATACATAATAATAATGAAGATAATTGTCGTTGTTATTCAGAAAAAAAAGAAATCAGCAGGAGCAAGTTATTTCTTAGCTTGACTGTAGTAATAATATAATATGTTTAAAGTATTACATAACACTATTTCACTGTTTTTATAATAGCATGAGTACTTATTAAAGTTCAAAATGATAGATGTCATTTAATTCTCAAAAGAGGGTAAATGCAAGGAAGTAGTAAAGCCAATATCGGATTTTTGTTTTTTGTTTCCTCTGTCAGATGTGCTTTGTCATCGTGTCACATTAAACAGTTGGTCTGTGTCACAGACCTCACAACAATATTTCTCAAATTTCACTTTTGTCTTGCTAAAATATGGCAAAACAGTTCAACATAAAAGCGAAAAACTGACACTAATCAGGTTTTACAGATTAACCTTACTTAATATTTCTTCAGCAGCTCCGACAATATTGTATGTCAATTCATCATCATATATTTGTCTCACTAGAAACTGCCCTTCCAGTACAACTTCTGCTCTTTTTCTGAAAAGTCATACATACAGTAGTTAATAAAATGAGTTAATTATTTTTAATAGAAATAATTTTTATTATTAAATTTTAAAATAGACATTAAATCATACATGAGGTTACAACTCACTTTTGTTAGACCAACAAAAGAAGTCCCCTTTTTAAGTATTAGTAAATGGAAAAATAAATACACAGACCCCAAGCGGATGACAATGAAACCAACGATAAAACAACAGGTTGATCATCACCCACAGATTGCAAGAAAAAATCTGATAATGTTCGTTAATTGATAATAATATTTTAACATAGATAATTTTTGCATAACAAATCAAGGTTTCAAGGGGTGTGCATGGGTTCGGTAAGATAAGGTTAAGGTTAGGGAAGGGTTGCGTTAGGTATGGTAGAGTTATGGTTAGGGTAGACGCAGATTAGATTAGGTAGGGTTAGAGTTAGAGACAAGAGAGATTAGGTAGGTAGGGTTAGAGTTAATGTGAGGGTTAGGTTGAGTTGAGGTTAATGACGAATTCCGTTATGATAGGTAGGGCTAGATGTAGGGAGTGTTATGGAGGTATTCCGTTATTATAGGTGAAGTCAGAGTTAGGGTTAGAGGCATGTGAGATTAGGGTATGTAGGGTTAGTGTTACTGTTAGGGACGGGCTAAGTTGGGTGGAGTTAGCGACGGATTCCGTTATGATATGTAGAGTTATAGGTATGGTTAGTGTTAGGGCCGGGTAAGGTTAGGTAAGATAGAATCAGAGTTAGGGTTCATGGATAGGGGGGGGGGGGTTAAGCCGGGTTAGATAAGGTTAGCGTAAAGGGGGAGTTAAACGCCATAGATTGAGATGGTTAGAGTTAGGGTTATTGTTAGGGACGGATTAGTTAGGGTTAGGGACGAGTTACGTTATGACATATAAGGTTAGATTTAGAGAAGGGTAAGGTTAGATAAGGAATAATTAGATATAGATTTGCCTACATACAATAAAACAATCCCGTTTCTTCCAAAAATCCAAACTAATTAAAAACCAAAATTAGCCACACCAAACCAAAAACCAAACTAACACCTCAATTCAAACCCACTCACTCTTTAATGCATTCTTTCTTATTTACATACCACTAACTCAGTTAGGTTGGTGGAGTACTCGATATCCCTCCATCACCCTTTTTACCTATTATAATGTATAAATAACCTAATTGAGTGTCGATGGGGGTACTCAATATTCCGCCATTGACCCTCACATTACATATTCACGCCAATAAGTGCATCCACTCTCAACAAACACTATGGACACAAAAGTATCAATACTACACACTACAACACAAACAAGAATCATAGCAAGGGACCCAGATACTCGCCGCCGTGCTACAGATCCAATACCTCTAGTATATTTTTGTATATTTATGATTGATGAATTAAAGTAATGAAAGTAAAATTACTGTTTTTTGAACAGTTTGTATATTTGATTATTTTTAATATAAAATAATTGGTTTCTTAAAAATACAATTTATCAAATTGAAAGAAAAATGCTTCATTTTTATATTTTCAAAAGAATTTCGCAAATATATAGTAATTTTACTTTACACGCTTAAATTATTTACCATCTACTAATTTTTGGTTTTTGCTTTAAAGAAAGAGTTAATTTGAAGTTAAAAAGGTTAATTTGAAGTAAAAAAGTTGATTTTAAGCTAAAAAAAGGTTGATTTGATGTTGAAAAAGATTAATTTGAAGTTAAAAAAGGTTAACTTGAAGTTAAAAAAGTTGATTTGAAGTTAAAAAATGTTGTCTAACTTAACTGAGGGGGTACTCAATATTCCGCCATCGACCACACTACACATTCTCGCTAATAAATACATTCACGCTCAAACATAGTAGGGGATACAAAAATATCAACGCTATATTTAATAAAACAAACATGAATTACAACAGAGGCCGTGCTTGTTAAAAAGGATTAATTAATTAACCTAATTGAGGGTCAATGGGCTACTCAATATTTCGCCATCGACATTCTCACACTACACATTCACGCTAATAAATATATTCACTCTCAACACTAGGCTGTTAAAATGGACTTTTGCTATAACTGGTCGAACTGTCTTGTAAATTTCCTAAGTGAATTCGTTGTTATAAACAAATACAAATTATTATTGCCTAGAATATTTCTGACAATTTTTCACATTAAGATTAAAATGAAAAAAAATGAAAATATTAAGTATGACACAATTACGCACAGGAGTTTCGATTAAAAAAATTAATTAAACAAAAAAAGAAAGTTTAAATTTCGTTTAAATTTTTTATATTTAGTTGTAAAACTTATTTAGTTTGTTTTTCGTCAAATCGGTCTATTTAAGCATAAAACAATATCTTTTCTACCTAATTAACCGAAAGCAGCAATCTGCTGGATTCATTTGGGTCATAGACTGAATGTTGAAATTCCCATTAATACTTGCTAGTTAAATCAAAAAGAATCAAAAACAAATAAAACCTCGGCTAGCAACAATGGATACCAAAAAATATTTATGGATGGGTTGGTTGTTAATACAAATAATTTACAAAAAATAACTTTAAAAGAAGAAACAATCGGACTCAGCCACCCCACCAAAAATGAATCATTAGACTTTCGTTACTTGCCACAAATTGGTGAACTATCAGAAAAAGTAGGTAAAATTCTTAAATGAAAAGTTATTAGAGTAACTTTGAGAGGTGCGTGTTCACTTAGAAACATAACTCAAAACCTAAAGACAATGTTGACAACTTGTCAAAAAGCGGGGTTTACAAACATGTAATTGTAGTGGTTACGATGTTATAGGACATATAGGACAAAACGGCAGAGAAATTGCAAGGAGTGTTAAAGTCAAAATCGGACAATTTTCTGAATTTAAAGACAATCTAAATGAAACAAAACACAATTTAAATTTAAATACAGCAGTGTTACACAGTTTCAACAAAGGACGGGAACTAGAATGGTTTGAGACATTTGAAATTAAAAAAACTTAAAATTAAACACGGAGATAAAATGCATAAATAATATCATAGATTTGGATTTATCCCACAATTTTAAACATGTACTTAAGGCATACAAATTAATCACTAATTTTAAATTATTTTCGTACAGTTTTATTAGGATAATATTTAGTTGTGTTGTAATTTACGTTTTTCGCATGTTCAAAATTGAGCGGCAATAAAAACCAGCTTCTCGTTGGCTGTGGATCGGCGGACTCACTCTTACGATTCATGTGGAAAGACATGTTTGCTGATGATGAGCGCTCGAAATCCGGATAATTTTGACCAACAAATAGAACTGTAGAATCATCATTTACAAAAAGTGAATCTACATATTCACCCCAACTTCATCATTTCTAGACAGCAACACGTGTTTTATTTTATTTTATTATTTTTTTAACGGGGTCCCGACCTCAATGAGGATTCAGAATAATTAATCTTTAAAACCAGGTTTAAAATAACAAATTCCCGGGCTTTAATAGTTAAAAGATATAGTCATAGCGGGAAAATTTCCCTCGTTGGGGGCAGTACACCCCCTTTTCCGAGAGATTGCACTTAGTCCAACGCAATCTGCGGTCATTTCAATTTTAAGATTATGTCCGCGTATTGGGAAAAGGGCTTCTTTTTATAATTTTAAAAGCCGGAGGAAAACCTTCGGCCCTTTTTATCGACTACCGTCTCGACTGGAAATGAACCAAAATACAGATTATTCCGAAGTGTCCTTTTCCTTACTTGATAGTTTCCCAAGTCTCCTCCCCGAACGTCTTCAGGACGAGCAGCTCCAAAGCATAATTGACGAAGCCGTACTGTAAAAAAAAATCCATAATTAAAATTCAGTATATATAAACCGGACAAACTTTACACAACATTCCAATAAAAACTGTGTACACCGACAAAAAAAAAAAAAAAACAGTTTTACTATTGACAACATAACGAAAAAAATAAAATAAATAAAAACAAATAAACATTGCAAAAAAATAAATACAAATTTTTATTGAGATTAAACTCTGTTTAACTAATAAATAGAGAACATTTATGTAATAAACTATAAATTGTTACCATTTTTGATATGAGGACTCAAGTTCGCGATGTTTTTTTCGTTGGAGGGATGTGCGATGTGACGGTACGAACGCCAAGGAGAGACTGACGCAGGACTCTGTAAAACAAATCGATTCGAAGACATCAGTCGGCGAGCCAACAGAGTGCTCTACCAACGATTCGAAATCCTCCACTCACGACTCACAGCTCGGATCACTTTGACGTCCTTCCGGCTCCTACAGCAAATATCATCGACCTGAAAAGGGTTAGAATTGAAAATCGAGAAGGATGGCACGGATGCTAAATAGGAACGTCATTTTTGGAAAGGGGACGTTGCATTACTCGCATTTATGCAACAGGTTAATCTTATAAAATGTAAATAATTAAAAAGAAAAAAAAATCTACAGATTAACCAAGCTTTGCAATGAGGATGAAGAAACAGCCACCCATATCATCTTCGAATGCGAGACAACCTGCGATACAAAGAAAACCTAGGAAAAACATTGCAGCAACGACAGTCTATAATCTAGTACCTCCTAGGAAAAGGATGGAGTCGATTACACATAACTGAGGAACTAGGAAATTACAATAAGCCAGTTGGCCACAGTGCTTGGTGAACATTAACTCCGCCTCCTAGTCTCTTTTCATCATCATCATTGTCATCATAAAGCAAGCTTTAACAGCAAAAAAATCCAGCTTAAATACAAATACAAAGTGCTACATTTCTTGCAAAATCCTTATTAAAACAGAGGATACAAATATTTTTAAAATTTATGTCTAAAATTAAATAAAACATGGTGCATCATTTTCTCTAAGTCAAACCTATTAGCACTTTAAGACCTTGACAGTCCTGACTGCTCATTCGCCCGTCCAAAATACCTGGGTCCAAATTACCTTGTTATAGCTATTTAATAGAGAATCAGCTTCTGTCATAGTGCGTGGGTTCGATCGAAAAATGGCAAAAAGGAGGGAAAATTAAAAAGGTGAGGTTGAGATGGGAAGTTGGTGTCCGAGTGGATCGAAATCACGATAGCTCAAGTGGTAGAGCAGCGACGTATTTAGCCGAAGGTCGTGGGTTCGAATCCCGCTCGTGACACTGGCTTTTTTTATCTCAATCAAAACCTTAATTAATTGAAAAGAGTCATTATTAAATGTGTGTTGTTTAGTGACCGTTAGTTAATGATTATTTGTAAATCGTGAAATGCGGTCCGGTGTGACGTAGGTTTTAGAAAAACATTTTCTTTATCGTGCCAACGTTTCGATCTTTATTGAGATCATCTTCAGGGCTCAAAGTGTTTGTTTTCCGTGTAGATGTGACATTCTTCTGTGTCGTGTTGAGAGTGCCGGTGAAATATATGAATATATGAAACCAACACGACACACAAGAATGACACAATTAAACAAAAAAACAAACATTTTGAGCCCTGAAGATGATCTCAATAAAGATCAAAACGTTGGCACGATAAAGAAATTTTTTTTAGAAAACCTACGCACTAAACACCACATGTTTCGATCTTTATTGAGATCATCTTCAGGGCTCAAAGGGTTAGCTTTCTGGGTAGATGTGCCATTATTGGGTGTCGTGTTTTTTTTTTTTTTTTGGCAGTGGTTGCCCCTCAGGGTGCCGGTGTTTTTGAAAAAAAGCTCATTTGTAAGTAAGTCGGGTTCGAATGCAGGGCCGCTGGATTCGAACCCGGGACCTTTACCTTACAGTGATGAGCGCCGTGTCAACGCCTAAACCGTTGCGGCACCGACGCCCCCTTGTGTTGAGAGTGCCAATACATTTCAAAAGAAACATTTCAAACATAGAAATTACTACCAGCATTAAAAACATTAAGACACTAATACAAAAATTACACCAATTAAATCTCAGTGCCGCCAGACACCTTAACAAAATTCTACAAATATCAAAAAGATGCATACAATTTCCACTTTGATCAAATTAAAAACAAACACACCATAAAACTTAACAACACGAAAATAAAGATCTCAATAAGGATCGAAACGTTGGCACGATAAAGAAAATGTTTTTCTGAAACCTACATCACACCAGAGCGCATCTCACGATTTCCCAATAATCATTAATAATAAAGAGACTCGACTTCACAAAAATCACCAACACCGATTATGCCTGACAGACCAAAATGATCGGTAACGACCAAATTTCAAGTTCATCACGAAGAAATCCCAAATTTTCTTGGTTTACCTTTTGATGTGTATCCTGGCTAGGTATCGAACAGAATTTTGATGTTATGTATACATAAGGTTTCTACTTAGCGATCATAGTTCAAGCCTAATAAACATATATCTGCAAATAGCGCCGGTTTAAACATAGAAGTACAAACACAATCGGCCTTCCTCTCTTAATGTGTTTTTGATGCGATCCGACACTGTGCAAATGTTTGAAACCAGACGCTGGTGGTCTTTAGTGAATTCTCCCTCTTGTATTTATGTAAAAAAACGTTACCAGTTAAAATTATTAATGCCGTACTTGCTTGTATTCGGTGCTAATGAATTCTCGGGGGTAACGTGATTTTTTTATGCTTTTCGTACGTGGTAGAAAGAGCTGAGTCAGGCCTGACCCCAAGAACTGGACAAACAGCATTTAATTAAAAATTTCGACCTTATCGGAATTAAACTTGACTTGAATAACTTGGGCAAGAAAAAATAAATAAACAGAGCTAAACAGGTCTAACCGAAGGGTTTAAGAAGTACAAGTTAAAGAGTTAAGGATTAGTTTGAGACAGCATCATTAAGAAAGTGCAATTTTTATATTTTAATGTTTTAAATAACTATAACAACTGTCACATTTTTGTTTGGTTAAACAGGCTACAGAACAATGATTTTTTTATTTTGCTAGAACAGCCCTAGAATAGTACAAGGGTAATAAACAAAGGTGATAAAACCACAACGAGATCCTGAGGTTTTTGAGGTTGTCCTTTGGATTGCAGACTAGGTAGTTCTAAGGACAGGGTTTGTAAATAGTAATAATTAAAATTATTCTTTTTCAATTAATTAAGGTTTTTAGTTGTAATTAAATTAATGATAAATAATAATTGGGTATTCCTGTTGAATTTATTGCACCAGCCAGATGTTTTCAAATTTCAGTTCTTGAAAGGATCCTTTATTTGCTTTACTGGAACTGCAAACGAATAAATTTAAAGCTGTTGAAAAATCCAAGCTTCGTGCGCTTGCGTTTTCTCTTAAATAATCAAAGGGTTCGTTATTTCCGACTGAGAAATTATAATCTTCCTTTTAGGAAGCTTGAATTAAAAGTGAAAATACGTTTCTATGTTAATGAATATTTGGAATGGAGGGAGTGCTGTAGGCGTCCAATTTGTTCCACGTTGGATATTTTCTTGGAGAATTATTGTCCGAAATAAAGTATTTTTTAGGAAAACAATAAAAGTTCTAAAATAATACATTTTTTTATACGTAAAGTATTAAGACCTACGTTGAGGAGTAAAGTCAAATTTTCGATTAGATTTTGATCCCTTTTTGGAGCAGGTGGATCCTTTCAGGCAAGATTATAAACTCTATGTCGATTTTAAACAAATAGTTATTAAATTTGCAGTATTTTTCCTGGTTATATTGCTTGGTAGACTGTACCCGCCACTTCGTTCATGAATTGAGTGAGAGCTCGAAGGCATAAAACAAAAATGCTTATTAATAAATTTCAATTAATTAAGTTTTTTAGTTGAGATAAAAAAGTCAGTGTCACGAGCGGGATGCGAATCTACGATCTTCGGCTAAAAGGAGGGGAAATTCAAAAGGTGGGGTTACATGGGAAGATAGTGTCCGAGTGGATCGAGGTCACGATAGCTCAAGTAGTAGAGCAGGGGCGTATTGAGCCGAAGGTCATGGGTTCGAATCCCGCTCGTGACACTGACTTTTTATCTCAACTAAAAACCTTAATTAATTGAAATATATTAATTGGTCAAGCGGACCACTAATAGTTGTGAATTATTCTTTTTATGTAAAGTCTTGGTTGAAATAAAAAAAATTAGTGTCTCGAGCGGGATTCGAACCCATCACCTTCGGCTGGGCTTGAATCCCGTTCGTGACACTAACTTTTTCATTTCAACCATGACCTTGTATAAAAAGATTAACTAATTGAAAGAAGTAATTTGGTCAATCGGACCACTAAATATAATGGATTAAAATTATTTTAAAAATATTTAGTCAAACTCAATGATCTTTGTGACAAAAGGAATCGTTCACGAGTATGTCACCCGGTTCAATTGTGCAGTTTCCCCCGGGGTCGTTCGCATTCACGAGATAATGTCTGAATGATTCCGGTCGTTTATCCGTTCGACGTATTGTCATTAATTTCTCAGCGAAACAGTTCGCCGAGGCGGACGGAAGGAAAACGGAATCCCTCGATCTTTGTAAGAGTATTTTATCCAATCATCCTGGGGCGACAACTGTGCCAAATAAAAACGTCATTCCTATTGGCTGTCGCCATATTTTTTGGCCCGTTATTCCACAGTACATCAGATCGCAGCGGAGGAAAAATAAATGTGTTAAGCATTAAAAAAACTTAGGAGATGGTATGAAATGTAAGCCATATACGCACACATGTATTTTGATATAAGACGTTTTTCCCATCAAATTAACCCTTTCTTAATTTCAAATTAACCATTTTTAACTTTGAATTTACCCTTTTTAATTTCAAATTAATGCTTTTCAATTTAACTTAACTTTCTGAAAGGTTAAATGAAGCCTTTTGAATTTAACCCTTTCTTTAGAGGATAAAAATTACTTAGGACATGGTATGAAATATTGGAATGTAAAGTAAAATTCCTTTGTATTTGAGAATTGTTTTAATTATTGGACTCTCATTAGAAGATGATATGAAAATTAATTACAATTAACTTTAAAAATGACACGGAAACAAAGGATTTTTCTTGTATTCTGAAAATTTAGTAATTATGGTATCTAAGAGCCAAAACTGATACTAGGACGACAAATTTATTCAAGTAGTTTTTTAATGTATTTTTTTGCCTTTTTTACGAATGTAGTACAAAGTTATAATTTTGTTATCTATCAAATTGGTGGCTCACACTTAAAGGAGTCTTAAATTGTTCATGTAATTTAAAATCATTAACTATGAGTCAAAAGTGACAGCTTGTTTTTTTAAATCAGTTTTCCCCTCAAATGCAGTAGCAGGCAAAACAAAAGACAAAATGATTATATGGTTAAGGTTGTAGAAGGTTATAAAGCCCAGTGACTTTCGCACTTCTAA